GGAACGGTCCGACCTCTCGATACGGTAAACTCCGCTGTGTGCTCTCGCGAATTCGAGCTTTGCTCTTCGCCGACAACTAAAACGAGACACTACGCACGCGACACCGAAACAATAAAGCAGGTGGACGGTCTTACAACTTCGGGTCTTACACTCCCTGCGGCGTGGTCCTTCGCTTTCCTCCTTACTCCACTCCCTCGGGCGCAACGCAGCCACCGATTGTCCCTCCTTGGGCGAGGGGAACACCAAAAAAACCTTTTCTCCCGCTGACTTCAAAACGACTCTTTTCTGCAACGATAGGCGATAAGCAATCCGCAATGCTCGGAAGCAGGCCGGCGATATCAGAGAGAGCGAAAACGGCAGTCCCCTCTTTTATCTCCTTCCACAGAAATGTTTTCTCGTTCTCTTCTGTTGTGTCGTGCTACCCGTCTCACCCCGTTCCTCGTTACCTCTCCCAATACGGGAATCCTTCCGCGAATCTCTGTTTTCGATCCGCGGGACAGGTGCTCGGTCTCACTTTGGCGCGTGCTCTCTCTCTCGCTCCCGCGGTCTCCTCGCCTAGGCCGGCTTTGTCTAGACGGCGATCACGCTCCGAGCACGGGAGCACCGACAGCTTCTCCGGATATTCCTGCAGGCCTGGGGACACGGGAACGGCAGCGAGAATCTCTTAAGGCGATACGGGAATCGGTAATATTACTCATAAGGGGGAGTATTCACCTGAGGTGGCGGTCTTGTCGAGGGGTGTCGTCCTCTTCCTTCCTCTGGTCCCTCCGGTCCTGATGGGCGGCACAGGAGGTCCAGGGGCACAGAGTTCGGGGACGCGGGACCATTCCACCTGCGCGCTCCTATTACTAACACTAATTAATACGGGGGCGCAATGCGGCTTCCCCCCCGCAATTCTTGCGTGATGTACTGTCCGCCCCCCCCCGCAAACCTCGCGTAAGGACCGAGGGTTCGCACTGGGACGGGCGCCTTCTCGGCTGCCACGTCACACAACATAATATTTCTCTTATAACTATTTTCAAACATTCTAAATACAATAATAACTTTATTTTAGATCAATGCGGATATTGACTTTTGGCCACATTTAGAAATATTCTGGCCCACTGTGCCAAGGTCGAAAGGGAAACGCATGCAAACGAAAGCCGCAAACATGTGCCACATGTATGCGGCTTTCGTTTGCGCGTTTTCCCTTCCACCATGAATCGCAGAGCCGCTAGGTTAAAATCTGCTATCACTGATTATGAGTAAGCTGTTGCGCTCAGAGTGCGACAAGGCGAGCATGAACGGGCTATCTCAATCTTGCTCAGTGCGTCAAGCGCGTGAGAAGACAGAGATGAAGACAGAGAAGATCGAGTGGTGGGGATAAGCCTCGACCGTGCGCGCAAGATTTCCAGCCATAGACATAGTATATCTAGACTGCGCGTTCTCCCAAATTTGAAGAGTGGGGGTATAACTCTCGTATAAAAGGAAGCATTCTGTTTTTACTGTTCATTCTCTCTCGCACAGTTCCGATGGAAGGGGAATAGGGGCGGTGGTTATTGTACAGCACTGTACGGTCGCGGACATAAAGGTTGTCACTTTTTTTTTAATGACTTTCGGGACGCATCCCGAATCGAGAAAGATGAGAGTTGCTGCTCCGCCTGCGGAATACGCCTGCGCAGTAACTCACAACGAAAGGCGAGAAATGAAATATACGTGATATGACATAAGTATGTCAACAATCATTGCGTTTAGCGGAGAAAACCGCTCAATGAGCGATTAGTGACTATTGGTCCTTACTGTTAGATCCTTATATTCAGACCAATAACCTTGACAAATTATTCAACAGTTGTTCAACCGTTGAGTGTTGTGAACGTACCCAATTCTTACATTTTAAAAAATCAGCAGCGGAGGGATAGATACATGGTACAAGTCATTCAAATGTGAATGTGTCTTTTGCAAGGTATTGAACAGGTATATATTAAATTTTAAGTGAAATCGTATTTATTTAGTCACTAATCGCTTTCCGCTGCGTTTAATTACGTTTGACAACATTGGAAAACATATGTACTTTCTGCAAATATCGACCAAAAATACGATACGACGAACTTTAATTGGCTGCGTTCAGCAGAACAAAGTGGAAATTATGGAACTAATATGGAACTAATATGGAAAAATCTTGGTTCTTCCATTATTTCAGCATGTTCTAACGCATTTATAACTGGTATGTTTACTATTATATCGTCTAAATCCATTATTGTTACACAATTTTACTCTATAATTAAAATGCAGTGAAATTTATATGCTATTTTCTCTCAAATTTCGTATTTATTATTTCTCTTACGGATATGTAAAGTCAGCTATTATTTTCCACTCTTTTAGCCATCTTAGCATTGAATTATTCTTCTTCTTAATAACAGTGTGCTTCTGTGTGTACTCTTATACTCCATTTTCTGTACTTTGCATAACGTATCACATACGTTTCGAGAGAAACGGATGGTATTACCCATTCGTTGCATTGCGAATAATAATTTGCGTATACGTTTCACTTGCGACTGTCAAGAATACGGTTCTAAGGTTCTAGATTTTCCATTGCTATTAGTCGAAACTTGCCACTAAAGCCAACGGCACACGGTGCTTGTTTTCGTGCTGGATTGCTTGCTGGATGAAAATACTGCGTTCTGATTGGTGCATTTCCATCCATCTTCGGAAAAGTACCAATCAGAACGCAGTATTTTCATCCAGCAAGCAATCCAGCACGAAAACAAGCACCGTATGCCGCTGGCTTTACGTATACGCAAGTAGTTCAAGAAGGGCCCCAGACAACAAACAATAAGAATAAAAATAGACCAATTACAATCGACTATCACAAGAATAATCTATTGTGATTGGTCTATTTTTATTCTTATTGCCTGTTGCCTGGCATTGTGCAAAGGGCTTCATTCTATTGGATATTGGATCGTCGTGAGTGAACGCCATGTTGGGCGCAATGTAAATTCTCCGTTCAAGCATGCACATAAAAAAAAATTGCTACTAGCGCCAATAGCTACAAACCTCCAATTGTCTTTGAGGCCTGGTCTACAATAGAGACCTTTGAATTAGAGTCTGGCCATAAGGATTCCACTTTTGATTGGTCCGCCAGTTTTGGCAACTCCCGCTCATATTTGAATGACCTTACCATTCGCTCGCTATTAGCGTAAGTATAATTTAACAATACACATAGTTATACGAAATAAGTGTACAAATTATGTATTAAAATACTTTTTATATTGTAATATATTGTTGTAATATTTTATCATTGTTGTAAATCATTAATTCTAAATTCGACATTTTTGCATTGCAAATTACATTTTTATTAAAAGGAGAAATCGCAATAGTTTTAGACATTTTCTTACCAGTAGATGTTTTTTTCTTGTTTCTGGCTTGATAAATATTTAAGAAATCCTGTAAGATATTGCCAGTCATCATTATCATAATTAGTATTTTTAATATCATTAATGAATACTGCAATTAAAAGCTACTGCTGATATGAATATATCATAAATAGCTATGACAGGAACAAAAGTAACAATGTAAAGTGACATTTATGAAAATTGAAAGAATCTATTTTAAATTAAGAGAAGCATTTAAGAAAAGCATTTTTATATATTTATTAACGATTATTTATGCGTATATATATTAATGGTTTAAAATTTTGACAGTTGAATTCTGAATGTTGCAAATTCATTTGATAAAAAATGTGCAAACCGCATTTAACAATCGAGTGTACAGAATAAACACGCGTGTATACTCACAAGAAATACAGTCTTTGCAAATGTGACAAATATGATCGAACAAATAACAACGTTTGCAATATAACAAAATTTTCATGAGACCGTAATCGTTGTAACCAAATAAAATTTTGTTATTTAAATTTATGCTTAAATCTAATAATCCGTGCAGTAATAATCCGTGCAGATAATAGTGTAATATCACAATATTATCATATATAAATATTTTTAACGAAATATAAAATATATATCTTCGATATGTCATCTATAGTAACCTAGACAAATTGTATATAAGTAATTGTTATATTACACTTTTCTACAATATATTTACAATATACTTCTATAATATATACTTACGTTTTCCATATTAATCTCTTCAGTTTCAATGTCATTAGATGTAGACTCCAAAACATCATTTATAATAACCTGGAAAGAGAGACTGTACAGCATAAATTGTTATATCATACATTTGTTCTATACTTACATTTTCCATATCAACCTCTTCATTTGTAACATCATTAGCTGTTTATCCATTTGTATCTTCACTTTGTGTGTCATTGGTTATTTTATTAACAGTACCATTATCATCTTCCAGGTCTTTCGTTACTTGCTTCTTCATGAAAAACCCAAAAATCGTTGGTACTGCATCTCGTTTTAATTTCCGTTTGCGGCCAAGTTTCCACATTTCTGGGGCAAAATGAACCTACATATATATATTATAACAATAAGTTACTTATACACTTTAATCATGATTGTAAGAAAAACATAGAAACTTCAGAAAGTTATTAGTTTAAACGTGACAGATTCAATTAACATTACTATTATTTAGTTATAATAAACTAATATATTACTAACTTCTAATTGGTACATTTCCGAAAATGGATGGAAATGCACCAATCAGAACGCAGTATTTTCAACCAGCAAGCAATCCAACACGAAAACAAGCATCGTGTGCCGCTGGCTTAATTCTAGGGTCTCTAGTCTACAATAGGTGTTGTAAGCTGTAAGCCGTAAGAACTGACCAATTATAGCTGATTATTTTTGTAATAATCGACTGTGATTCGCCAATTCTTAAGGCTCGTCTACATTAGCTGTAAGAGTAAGGCTGTAAGGCTGTAACGCTGTAAGCTGTCAGCGAATGAAAATATTTCATTTCCTGTCTTGCAACCTTACAGCCTTACTTTTACAGCTAATGTAGACGAGCCTTAACGGCTTACAACTTACGACACGTATTGTGGATCAGGCCTAAATTTACTGTTCCCGCTTTTCTTGGTTTGTATTACTGGAGTACTCAGTATTTTGTCGCTCTGTTATATTAAATATTTTGTATCACAGAAACATAACGCAAAATGAGTAAAAAACCATTTTCAATATCTTCTGCAGCAAAGAAACGGAAATTTGGGTGATTATATGTCTTATTATTCTGAATAGCGTCCGTTAACCTCCATACTTGCTTTCTAAATTATATGTATGTATTTATTCGATAAAATTTGTTTTTAATATGATATTCTTTCCTCATTTATAGCTTTTTTATTTATATATATATATGTATCTTTAAACTGTTTTATAAAATTATACAATGTTGAAAAAAAATCAGTGCTTTGTATTTAATATTATATATTTTTTTGTAAAATTTCTTTTGACAATATTAATCTCATTAAACAGAGGTGAAGATGAAGAAAAACCAAGTTCATTTGAAGTGGAACTGGCTACTATGGATTATATAGATGATGACTTTCAAAATGAAATATTAATTGGAGAAGTATGATATGATTATAACTAAGATAACAAAAATTGTTTTCTGTTTCTCTCTTTTTCTCTCTTTTGCTATATATATATATGTAGTGATATAAAAAAACAAAACTTTATTAATTAACTTCATAGTTAAATTACGTTCCTTTTTTCTATTGACATTCATATTTTAATCAATATATAGGGTCCTGAACAAGATAATACATTTGCCAAATGGAGTAGAGCTCCAGCACCACCATTGAACCCCCAAATTGATACATTGGCATTTCAACAAATAGAAATTGATCATTACATAGGTAGTATATATTTTTCTTCAAGAGATATGTTTTCACATTAAAAATAGGAACTGTATTATCAATGAAAAATATTTTTAATAATTATAATTTTATACAGGTAAACCTCTACCTGGAATGCCAGGCAGCAAATTAGGACCTGTACCTATAATGAGAATGTTTGGCATTACAGAACAAGGAAATTCTGTCTGTTGCCATGTTCATGGCTTTTGTCCGTATTTATTTGTTTTAGCACCTTCTAAATTTACAAATTATCACTGCAAACCATTCAAAGTACGTATAAATATGCAAAGTATGTATATGTTTGTATTTTTATTCTCATCAGCTCATTTTTCGTATATAGGAGATAAAATTCTCTATATTGATTTATTTATAATAGGTTGGTAAACCATCAAATTGAAGGAAATTTGAAAGTTAATTTGTAAAAGTTAGAACTGAACTTATATTGTAAGGATGTAAAAAGTTTTTAGTGAAAGTGTATATGCTGAATATGTATATGCTGAAAATTAACACATTATCATATACTGATTTCCATTTATTATTTCAATGCACAATTATAGTCTAAAACATCATAAATATAGTAATTAAATATATTAAATACATGATGCATGTCTGTTAATTTGCTTTGTTGATTTTCTATTGATTATATACTTAATTTGTTTAATTTGTACAAAAATTCTGCCAATATAGGAAGCTCTGAATCAAGCAGTGAAAAAAGATATGAAATCAAATCCTAATAATATCCAAGAAGCCATTCTAGCAGTTGAATTAGTTTATAAACAATCCATGTATGGATACACAGGAGAGGAAAAATTGCCGTTTTTAAAAATTACGGTGGCAGTTCCAAGATTAATAGCACCTTGTAAAAGATTACTGGAACAAGACACAGTTTATACTGTATTCAATCATCATTATAAAGCCTTTGAAAGTAATATTGATTTTGATATCAGGTACGTATTAATATTGTATCAGTCATCATACTGTTATTAACGCAATGTCATCACTTTATCTTTGGATGTTTATGCAAGGTTTATGGTTGACACATCAGTAGTTGGCTGTTGTTGGATAGAGTTGAAACCAAAAACATGGAAATTACGTGGTCAGCATGGACACGTGTTGGAGCTAACTACACGATGTCAATTAGAAATAGATGTTGCATGGGATGCCTTTATAGCCCATGCACCAGAAGGAGAATGGTCGAAAATAGCCCCATTTAGAATTCTCAGTTTCGATATCGAATGCGCTGGACGCGAAGGTAATCGTTGCGTTTTCTTAATTACGATGTTATCTTACTGTGAGAAATCGCTCACGAATCTTTCTCGTAGGTATCTTTCCGGAAGCGAAACATGATCCGGTGATTCAAATCGCCAATATGGTAATAAAACAGGGTGAATCGGAGCCATTTTTAAGGAATATTTTTACTTTTGGTACTTGCGCGCCTATTGTCGGCTGTCAGGTATTGAGTTTTGAAAAGGAAAGTTTAATGCTAGAGGTACGCGCCAATCAAAATATAGAATATGTTTATGCTTAATTGCTCAGTGTTAATTGTTCACTAACAAAACGATCTTTTCTGTTGCTAGAAATGGGCCGACTTTGTGCGGCAATTAGATCCCGACATATTTACAGGATATAACATAAACAACTTTGACTTCCCGTATCTGATTAATCGCGCACAACATCTGAACGTTCAGAACTTCAGCTTTCTCGGCCGTATAAAAAATATAAGATCTGTCATTAAGGATCACGTGTTACAAAGCAAACAGCTAGGTCGTCGCGAGAACAAGTCAATTAATTTTGAAGGAAGAGTGCCATTTGACTTATTGCTGGTAAGGAAATTGATATGATAACAAACATGAAAGAATTCTTTATATTACAGTTTTAACGAAACTATAAAAATGTATACCAGGTATTGGTTCGAGATTATAAACTACGGTCTTACTCTCTAAACGCGGTATCATACCATTTTCTGCAAGAACAAAAGGAGGATGTCCAGCATAAGGATATCACTGGTCTGCAAAATGGAAATGCGCAAACACGTCGACGTCTTGCTGTATATTGCTTGAAGGATGCATATTTACCGCTGAGGCTACTGGACAAATTAATGTGCATAATTATTTATATGGAAATGGCAAGAGTTACAGGAGTATCCATTTCCAGTTTGTTAACTCGCGGACAACAGATTAAAGTTGTTTCTCAACTTCTACGTAAGGTATTTCCACGTAAATTTACAATTGCGAGAAACAAACAGTCGTTCCCATATTGATGCATAATTGAGTGAATTTGTATATTGTTACTTATTGCCGCGTTTTGCTAATAGACGCGGGAGAAGGATTACCTGATGCCTGTGCATCAAGGTCACGGTACTGATGAGCAATTCGAAGGAGGCACAGTAATAGAACCGAAACGTGGCTACTATAACGACCCAATTGCTACTTTGGATTTCAGTTCTTTGTATCCCAGCATTATCATGGCGCACAACTTATGTTATACGACGCTACTGACTATCGCCAAGAAAAAGGAATTGAATATTCCAGAGGACGATGTTAACACGACCCCCAGCAATTCGTTGTTCGTCAAGAGTTCCGTAAGAAAGGGAATTCTTCCTGAGATTTTGGAAAATTTACTAGCAGCCAGGAAGAAGGCAAAAGTGGAATTGAAGCAAGAGACAGACCCGCTGAAGCAGAAGGTACTTGATGGTAGGCAGTACGCTTTGAAGGTTTCCGCGAATTCCGTGTATGGTTTTACGGGAGCGCAAATGGGGAAATTACCGTGCTTGGAAATATCCGCTGTAAGTTTTTACTGATCCTCCTAAAATATACTCGATGTATCACACGTGTGAAAAATATTAATATAACGAGTATAATCGCAGGGCGTTACCGCGTACGGTCGAACTATGATAGAACGAACGAAGCAGGAAGTAGAGGAGCACTTTCGGATAGAAAATGGGTATAAAAACGATGCGATAGTTATATATGGCGACACTGATTCGGTCATGGTGAAGTTCGGCGTGGAATCTATAGTGGAAGCTATGGAGCTCGGCAAAGAGGCGGCCGATTACGTCTCGTCCAAGTTCGTCAAACCTATAAAATTAGAGTTCGAGAAAGTGTATTTCCCATACCTCCTGATTAACAAAAAACGTTATGCCGGCCTGTATTTCACGAAACCCGATAAATATGATAAAATGGACTGCAAAGGTCTCGAAACTGTGCGCAGAGATAATTGCCCACTGGTCGCGAACATGATGAACACCTGTCTGCAAATATTGCTCATCGAAAGGTATTTATCATTATTTTCCTTTGCGCTTTATTCGTATATTTATTAACTTAGCAACATCGGAAAACGTTGTCACAGAAATCCACATGCCGCCTTGGATTATGCCAAACAAGTCATAAGCGATCTTCTGTGTAATCGTATCGATCTCTCTCAGTTAGTCATCACGAAGGAATTGACAAAAACCGATTACGCCGCGAAACAGGCGCATGTCGAGTTAGCGACAAAGATGAAGAAACGAGATCCCGGAAACGCGCCAAAGCTCGGCGACAGGGTGGCGTATGTATTCATAAGCGCAGCCAAAGGTGCTCCGGCGTATCAAAAAGCAGAAGATCCCGTTTACGCGCTGCAGAACAGCATCCCGATCGACACGAATTATTATCTGGAGAATCAACTGGCGAAGCCTCTAGTACGTATCTTCGAGCCCATCCTCGGGGAAAAAGCAGAATCGCTTCTACTCAAAGGAGACCACACACGCACAAAATGCATCGCTACTTCGCAAGTCGGGGCACTTGCAGCTTTTACACGCAAGAAAGAGACCTGCTTGGGCTGTAAAGCCGTCTTACCGCCAGACAGGGAAGATAAGGCAGTGTGTAAGCATTGCGAACCTCAGGAGAGCGAGTTGTTTCACAACGAGTTACAGGCCCAACACAAGCTGGAGGAGAAGTTCTCTAGGCTGTGGGCGGAATGTCAAAGGTGCCAAGGGAGTCTCCATCAAGAAGTTATCTGCTCAAAGTTTGTTGAATTAATATAAAACCATATATATTTTTCAAACAAAGGATATATTCACACACATTTGAGTGTTTGTAATTATATCTACACGTGTGAGAAAATGACAAGTACCAGTGACATGTACGTTCCAAAATACTGATTTTTTCTCTCGTGTTTGTATCATTTCAGTTGTGACTGTCCTATATTCTACATGAGGGTGAAATCTCGAATGGATATGGCTGCGAAAGTTAAACGTATCCAAAGGTTCGGCGTTCCGGAATGGTAATGAAGAAAACGAACGCGTTTTGCGCATTAGGTAGGTTTGTTTTGCGTGTAAAAGCTACCACTACATAGCAAAATTGTTTGTTAACTAAACGATAGTCAACATTTAGCCAATGTTTAAATATTTATTACGAAATACCATATATATATATATATATGTATATATATGTATATATACAGCATTGATCAGTACATAAATTATCAAAATTCAGAGGATGCTACTCATCGTGAGTACATACATATACATATATAATGTAATAAACATATATCGGAAATTCTCTCTTTCTGTTTCTCTCTTGCGGATCGATGACCTACTATTTGGCATATTTACTAGGTGCTGAGACCATAAAAATTAATTATTTTAATTAAATAGACCTAGTGTAACTCTAGGAAAATGGAACTTATATCAAATACTTGAAAAATGGTACCTGTTATCTAGCAATACCAACGCGACTTTCTCGCGGCAGCATTAACTTTACTTTATTTTATGTTGCGTAACAATTTTTATAAATGCTGATACGATGTTGCATTTGTGTCCCATCTGCACATTGAGCTTCAATTTATGTTCACTCTATTAATATTATCGCGCTTGGAAAAAGTACTTGAAAACTTTGGAATGGTAAATACCATTCTCTTGAAATGGTAGTATGTTTTTGTACAGATATGATCTAAGTGCCGAAACATTCCCACTTTATAAGTTCGAATTCTTTTAAAATATTCACTCCAATTTTAGTAGTTCAGTAGCTGCGTATTTGTTGATACGTTTACTTATTACAAGTGATTTGTTACAACTTTATATTAAGTTTAACCACCATTGAAATTAAATAGCAGCATGATTCGTTTAACTAAGATCATGTAATAAAATTCTATGAACCAACAGAAGAAAAGACTATTGCTTACACACACACACATGTAGTCAATAATATAAAAATATCTATTAATGAAGAAAAATTTAAGTTGAAAGAATTATCTAGATTTATTATATTTTTTGCTTTTAGATTATAGAGAATGCAATTGAACATGATCTTTCTTGTCTTATCATGTATGTTCAGCGTTAAATATAACGATAAAAATATGACGATTTTTCAAATACTTCGGCTGTAGACTGCACAAAAAATATTTATAATTATAATAAATATAAACAAAAATATGTGCTAACGGCAACATAATGCCGCCGGCGGCAAATTCAAAGTGACAGTCATATAACTAGTCGCTTTGTAAGGCTCAAACAAGAATAATTTTCACATAATATTGATCATTTTCTACTTTGCAGTGCGTTTGATAACCAATCCATTGCTTGATCGAGCCCTTCACCCTTTGTCGCAGAAGTTTTAAATATTTGGAAGGTCCTATTTTTAAGAGCATCCAGTCCAAGTGCTTGATGGACTTCTGCAACACTGAGACACCCTGTCATATCCTGTTTGTTTGCCAGCACCACCAAAATGGCACCTTGTAATTCTTCTTCCTGATGAAATATAACACAATTACGTCATCATGTTATCATCAAAGTATCGTCTTAAGATATATTTTAAAACATTTTAGAAAAAACATTAATATTGGTCCAAAATATAAGTTTTTTATTAAAAGAAATAATATATATAAATTTTATAACAGAAATGTTACTTACTCGTAACATGTAAATTAATTCATCCTTCGATATGCCTATTCTATCTCTGTCTGCTGAATCTACCACATAAATAATTGCATCTGTGTTTGAATAATAACACCTCCAGTATGGCCTAAAACAAAATATTTATATAAAAAATTTATAAATCAGCATACAGACATATGTATTATATAGTTTTAGGATGCAAATATAATTTTATTTCTGTAATTTTGTAAGAAAATTGGCTCTTACAAGCTATACCTACCGTATACTTGTTTGACCACCAAGATCCCAAACTTGAAACTTTAAATTTTTGTAAGTAACTTGCTCTACATTGAAGCCTATAGTTGGTATTGTAGTTACTACTTCTCCTACTTGCAACCTAATAGATAATTAAATGAAGATAAGATATTATCCAAATATTAAAATTCCAGTTCAAATGAATCTCAACTTAGCTATATAAGTAAATATATATGTGCACACATACATATGGCTTAATTATCCAATAGATTATAAGGTTAAGTTAACACAAAGTAGTATGCAATAAAAAATACCAATAATTATACCAATATATAATCATAGAAGGAAGAATTATAAGACATGGAATATATATATATATATATATATATATATAAACATCGTCAAATTTTTACTTGTGAAGATAACATTGAATGGCACAAAATCTGTAATGATAACCGAGATAAGGACCTGTCAATGCAAGATCGAACCTGTATAAAATCGTAGTCTTGCCAGCCCCATCCAGACCCAAAATGAGAATGCGCATTTCACGGCTGCCTAACAGGTTACGAAAGTAACTGAGCAACCCACCTGCAAGTAAACAAAATCAGAATTTCATGCATAATCGCGGATAATCATGCGACAGGTAATAGCGTATCAATAATCGCGGACAAGCCGTTTATCGCAGTATTTATTTTCATAGAGCAATTAGATTACTGTGTCGACCGAGGAATCGCTAGGCTATTCGCTACGCTTACCCATGTTGGCGAAGTGTTAACTTCGTGTCATACGATGCGATCCGGTGTTTATTGTCAAACTTGATAACCACAAACACGGCCAAGTAACCGGGCCGCACAGCTCTCACCATTCACCAGAGATGGTTCATGGTTCATGGTTCAATAGATGGCTCCAGGCGAAACAATTCCGCTTCTACGTCAGTCATCGGCTGCATTCAGCAGACTCAACAGTTGGACATTACTAGATTTTCCACTGAATCTCGCTCCTGATTAGTAAATACTTCTGGGTCTATGAAGAATCTAAAAGAATGCTCCAATCACAGACAATAATCACTAAGCACTCTCTGATCACTTTGTTCTACTGAACGTGGCCTATGTCTATTATGCATCGATGCACGGTTGCTCGTAAGACGAAATCTGAGTATTTCTGTTGCCTGTGTAAAGCCAGCGGCACACGGTGCTTGTTTTCGTGCTGGATTGCTTGCTGGATGAAAATACTGCGTTCTGATTGATACATTTCCGAAGATGGATGGAAATATACCAATCAGAACGCAGTATTTTCATCCAGCAAGCAATCCAGCACGAAAACAAGCACCGTGTGCCGCTGGCTTTAGTTGATGTCTATTTTCTCAGGGGGCATATCAAGACAGACTTAAGCCAGCGGCACACGGTGCTTGTTTTCGTGCTGGATTGCTTGCTGGATGAAAATACTACGTTCTGATTGGTACATTTCCGAAGATGGATGGAAATGCACCAATCAGAACGCAGTATTTTCATCCAGCAAGCAATCCAGCACGAAAACAAGCACCGTGTGCCGCTGGCTTTAAAGCCAGAGCACAGACTTCTGCATAACGCATAATACACAACGCATAAGAGAATCAACCAATCAGAGTTCTTCATTTCTGTCCTGAGAAGGGAAATGAAGAAAACTAATTGGTTTATTCTCTTATGTGTTATATATTATGTGTTATGCAAAAGCCTGTGCTCTTGCCCATATGCTTTCGCCCGGTGGCCGTTCTCAGGTTTCTCTCTGTCGCTAGCTATAGTAGCCGCAGCAGGAAGTGACACCGAAATGAATTACGTCATATACTTATAAAAGCGTTTTCGTAGTACTGCAACTCATATCGAAACACTATTGGTAATACTGACAGTACTCACAATAAATAAAGGAATGCGCCCTATATTATGCTATTATTCATTGAGAAAATTTGCGACCATTGGTTATGTGGTACAAAGCACACATAGCGGCGTGGCGATACACGTGATCACTCTTTGGCTGGTATTCATAGTCAGGTCTTATATTTAAGACAGTCTTAAGTTCACTTTCAGATACTCTATAGCCAATGAAATACTTTGTACAAAGTTTGAAGATAAACTTAAGACGGTCTTAAATATAAGATCCGACTATGAATACCGGCCTTTGAGATTTCTCCCTACTTTTCTATGGTTATTCCTCCATCTGGGAAAGTCGTTTGACTGTGTGTCTGCCATTTTGATCAACATTGTGTTCATCTGCTTGTACATTATTAGTAAAAAGAGTGGTGAAATATTTTAATTATGAAGATAATTCTAAATATATCATCAATCAGGATATATAATATTATTTTACACCGAGTACACCTATGAAAGGTGTTAATAAGAAAGTAAGACCTGTACTCTACATGTTTCTGTGCTGTATGTTGGTTGTAAATTTTTTTCCCTTATTCTGAGCATTTACCAATTGCAGATGAATCGAATGGTAACTTGGTCCAAATCCTATGAGCTGCAGTTCTGTCACTAATTCATTGTGTTATACAATTGTACATAAAATACTCATTATATATGCATATATATAAATATATATATGTGTATATATATGTATGATAGCAACAACGCAAGATTAATATTATTATAACAAAATATTACCGAATTTTGGCATGATATTTTGCACTTCTATATATTATTAACATAAAGAACTCAAGCTTATACTGTTGAATTTTTAAAAAATCATACAAAGATGGGTTCTTCTCGACAAGAAGATAGATCTCTTAGTGGTGGAATTTCATTGCCACAATGGATGAAAGGAAAAATGGATAAGTAGGCGCTTTTGTATACTTTTATAATATTATGATTAAAGACACTTAGACATAGTTAATAGTTTTGCCTACAAGCTCCTAAATCATCATTCTTTTCATCTTGTGATCTTATATCATTTACTATATTAAAAAAACCTGTTTTATTTATTTTATGTTTATAATATATATTTATTGTAAGTTAGGTATAAATATATTGTTTATATATGTGTGTGTGTGTGTGTATGTATGTATATATATATAGGTATGGGTGGATGCATGGATTTATTTGATTTTGTGCCATGTAAACTTATTTCTCATAATATATTTATTTAATAGTTTTATAATCATATATTCAAAATGCATTCATATACATGTATACCTATCAAATAAAAATTTTAATTCATAGTATCATTTGTTATATTTTATACTAATTTTATTTTATTTGTATTTTTTTAGATTTGATTTTGATGATACTACTTTCCAAAGCCCACCGACTTATGATGACAGTTTTTTTTATATAAGGTATCAAAAATCACAGAATTCCAATTCATCACAGCAAGGATTGAAAGGCATCTCTGAGGCTTTGAGTGAGAACACTATCACAGATTCTACAAGTCAAAAAACTAATAAAAAATCAATTTCTGATTTGGATGAAACAAAGCAAATTGATTTTAGCAAGCATCCTTTGCCATGTCATCCATATATACCAGCTACAAATAATACAAGTAAATAATATAAAATTTATTGTTTCTAAGTCATTTGTTTTAGATGCGAATAAATTCCTTTTTAAAATATTATTTTAGTTGGTGATATTAAACCTCAAAAAACTCTAATAACAGGAAACATAAAACCTAAGTCGCAAGGGACAGACGACGGTTTCCACGGTGAACCAGCTCTTTGTGGCAAATCTATTGTTCACGTAGCCAACCAAATGATGTCCGGAAAATTCACCAAATTATTCACATCAGATTCACGTTCGCAGCAGACAGACAGTTCTTTGAAGAATGTCAGTAAGTCATTACCAGCATCACCATTGGTAACACCAACAGGAACTCCTGATAGTTCACCAAAAGCACGCAGAAAGATTCATTCTAATAGATATTTTTCGGGTGCGTTCGTACCAGATAAAGAGAAATATCAAGGTAGTTGGATTTTAGCAAGCATATTAGGTCAATCTAGAGAAATTGTTACAGCAAAAATAGAAGAAGAAGAAGAGTTTGTCACAGACATCATAGAACCAACCAAGCCGCTTAATCGGAAGAAATCAATATCTTCACAAAATTTAACGTATATAGGAAAAGAAGAAAAATCGGCGGATAAAATGCCAGGTTACATGAATGTACCATCTGAATTAAGAGAGATGAATTGTTGGTCACCAACTTCCATGTGAAATTTCAGTTTCTATTTGATTTTGCTCTATAAAGAGCTATATTAATCACACTTAGAGCTCTGTACTTATCTACAAGCATAATAAACTGAGATCAGACTATGTATTATAGACTATGTAGATTGAGATTTATGAATCTTGAGATTAGAATATAATCATTCAAGATAATATGAATCAAGATCGAGATTATCTGATTGATCGAATTCTGATCTGTAATTTGCAGTTCTTAATCTGTCATATGTAGACTGATGTCAGCTTTAGGCATAGGTTGGGAGCCCTGCAAAATATCCTGAAAATATAATTTGTAATAAAAGAGTATGTTCTTATAAATACAAATCTTGCTACACACACATATATACATACTATTTAATTTAACAATTTAAATTTAAATAAATACCACAAGGGCACCAAACAATGTGCCTAAAATTCCAAAACAGGTAAGTACAGCTCTAACTAATTTCCACCAAAGCACATAATTCGAATGAATTTAGTTTAACAATTTCATGTTATTACATAGTATAGTAGTGAAACTTAAGTTCATTATATAACTAATATTTATTAAGATATAATTGTAAACGTTTTATTCGATATTTGCAAGTTCAACTTGATCTTAGTGGGTTAATGGTTTTTCTCCGTACAGATTTAAAATGTACATTGAAAACTATATGTGTTATATTTCTAACCAAATCACCTATACTTTTTTTGGCTAGTTAAAAGAACTTCAAATTATATACATTTACAATTTGTCAGTGTAAATAACAGACTAATATCTATAATATTGATATTCTGTATAATAATTATTTACTTATATATTGCATATAGATGATTGTAGTGTATATCAAATGTATTAAACATTTTGAAACTTACATATACTTTGCTAAGAAAGCATAAAATAAAGCATAAGATTCACGTTCTCATGAAAAGAAAAATATCACTTTAATTGTGTAGAATGTAGTGTAAATTCTATGTTGACTTAGTATACTTTAATTATAAAAACATAATGTAAATTCTATGTTGATGTCGTAAAATTAATGAATTAGAAATAATGAAAACTAATTTATAAATATATTAGAATTATACGCAGTGTGTTCGATAACATATATAAGGCTCTTGTGTATATGTAGATTAGACTAAATTGGATAAAAAATTCCCTTACTATTTTGGGAACAATTACATAAAAATTTGACTTATTAACTAAAGAAGATTTATGAGTGAATTTACATGATCTATTAAATAGATTGTGATGGCAATATCTGCCACCATGTGCTTATAGATTAAAGATAATGAACAAAAAAGTAATTTATTATTTTATGAAAAAACGTGTAAAATTCTGAGTTATTAATTGAAGAAAATCGGTATATATAATCATACGTAATTGTTCATGAATATTCTTTAATTAATGACTTTATAAAAGAAAAAAATGGTAGATTTTGTTCAGTTTGATCTATATGAGAGTACATGAGAACTATATGTATTATCAAATACCCTATGTGTATATATATGTATATTTTTTTCATAGCAATAATTTGGAAATATTAGAAACACTTTGCTAAGATAAGTTCTATACGATTAGATTAAAAAGCAGTAAAGTAAAACAATTTTAAGTGAAGTATGAAAGTCTCAAATTGCTTTCTTTACAAAAGTAGCAATTTAAGAAACTTGCGTCAACTAGTGAGAATAGGAAAATTATGTGGTACAAGAAATCTTTATATTTGCACAAAAGCAAAATTTTACTACACAATTGTATTATATTTAAAATAATTAAAGCAAAAAATAAAAAAGATTTGAAAAGTGTTTGTGCAATGCTTTAAATTATTTACATGATTAAGAAATAAATATATAGTGTCCCAGAACAATGGTGTCAGAGCACGTAGGGGTGTAGAATGGAATAAGGTGAATAAAAAAATCCCATATTGTTTTGCTATATTTATTTAGTGATTATTGAATTACTAATTATAAAAATCTGACGAGATGAACGATTGAAGAAGCGCTGAGCTAAGATAAAAGAAAATATACTTGTTTCACTAGATCATATTGGGTTGTTCAAAAAGTCATTGCAGTTTTTTCAGTGATGTTCAAGATTGTTAATTTTATACTATACAAAGAATTAACTGAATCAATGATGTTAATGAACGCAATTACTTTGTGAGGAACCAAATAGTTTTATATATCGCATACATTATTTCGTGAAATTATGACATTAACAACAATTATTCCATTGTACGGTCGCGAGCATAAAGGTTTGTGACCGTTTTTTGCAACTTTCGGAACGCATCCCAACTCGAGCAGAAAGAGTCACTGCTCCGCCTGTGGAGCACGCCTGCGCAGTGACTCACGACGAAAGGCGAGAAATAAAATATACGCGGTGGGACATATTATAATAATATAGACTCAGATGCAGTGTTGGGCACTGGCGAGAATTTTCTCGCGCATGCGTACTGGGCAATGCTTAGAATCGTCACAGACGTAAAAATATTAGGTATCGCTAGGGCCCTGCTATATTATGCATTGTAATAGATATTGACAAAATATTATTATATTTTCGTTTCTTCTTTTCCTCGATGTCAGTTGATGTCGACGGCTGTGGATCATCCATCTCCATTGCTTTCACTGAATTCACTTTGAACACACAGTAAAAGTACAAGAAAGGGTCCCTTTAGCGGCTTTAGCTCCTACTGTTATACCCAACATACGACTGTGAACGCAGCTGATTTCTACCTCTGACGTCACGTTACGCATGCGCACGGAGGCTTCGCTGCGCGAAAAATCGTGCCAGAGCCCAACACTGCTCAGTTGAAATGAATACTCCAGTATTAAGTGGAAATGAGGGGACACAGAACGGACAAGAATCATCCGATGTAAGTCTTATACTCCGAAGGACATCCGAAAAAGGTAAAATACGAACTTAATTAAGAGAATTAAGCTGCATTACGATAGTTACGATTCTGTTATACATTTATATGTGATTTATTGTTTCAGCAATAGCCATCTTCTATAGCAGAAGCAATGATTAGATACAGAAGCAGCTGTTATAGTGAATTTTGAATTTTTGGGACATACAGACATGGACATGGAAGAGGAAGAAGGAGATGGAGAGGATGAAATTTATAATGTAAATACAGATACCAAACCAAATAAAGTAACGCTTACTATCATCTTGCGTTTTAATGATATTGTTCACGCTATTTGTTAACATAATTTCTTATTTTTCAGGCATCTATCCCCCTTCTAGCGGAAGATGTTGATACAGATGCAAAGGCAGGAGAAGTATTAAATGAATTAAATCTCCTCACAGAAATTGAAGAATCGCCATCTGGTTCTATTTATCTGGAAATGAATTCTTCAAAGAGGTTAGTAAATCCTTTTTTATTCGTGTACTTTAAGATAAAATATAAACCTATTATAATAATAGATATTTTGTAATATTGTCACATATAATCACATAATCTAATGATGCCTGTAGGTTTATTACATAGAGGATTATAACAAGATCCAAGACACCCAAATAATAAAGAAGGCGGTGACTCCATGCTAGAATTAGGAGAATTAGAACTATTATGTATTAACAATGATGCATAAATATCGTATGATGTAAGTTCCAAAAATTTTCCCCTGTATTTCAGTCGAGTCGCTTTTTCAGCTATGTAAGAGTTACAGTTTGAATGAATACAGTTTGATCTCTTCGAACGTTTCGATAATCTCTGCGAGCATCACGGATGTGAGAAGATATCTACATTGGGCGACTGCTACTTTTGCGTAAGCGGATGTCCCGAGCCGAGGTCCGATCACACAAAGTGCTGCATAGAAATGGGTGAGAAATGGGTCTAAGTGAGTGGAATGTCATTGACACGTTGTTGGCAGATATCTTCAAATCTGATGCTAAATTAATGCTGTGTGTTTCTCATCTTAACAGCTATAATCGAAGCGATCAAACAATTCGACATCGAAAGAAGAGAAGGTGTGAACATGAGAATAGTTGTGCACATGGGCACCGTGCTTTGCAGGATCATGAGTACGAAAAGATTCAAGTTCAATGTCTGGTCGAACGATGTGACATTGGTGAATAAACTTGAGAGCGGGAAACGGGAAAACCCGGTCGTGTACACTTGTGTGAGAATACTCTGAGATTTCTGGACGACCAGTACATTATGGAAGAGGAAAAACTAGTCAATGGTGAGTAAATTAATTCGGAAGAAAAGCAAGCAGACCAAAGTTGGAATTTTACGTGTCATGCGTTGTTGGAAATATCGCATAACAGCCTGGCAATAAGCAAAATATTGGAACTTGTTTATTCGTTTCAGGCGTTAAAACTTATTTCATCCGAGCCTGCAAGTCGGACTTCATGAATCAATTTATCATGAACGTTACGTCACCGAAAAGTATCTCATCGTTGATGCAGTCACGTAGCCTTCTGGCGTCGTGCAATACTCAGGTTAAGCCACGCCATCATTATCTCTACATGGTCATCAACACGAGCAACTACCGGATGAAAGCTAATTCTTTGCTGAGTATCTTGGATTCCGAGAATGGCGGCGACACTATAGACGAAAAAGAGGATTCAAACAAGAGCCCGACGTCCACCGCTAGTTACGGCAAGAAGAAAGTACGAAACAAACCGTGGAAGTACTTGCAGAGGCAACGGACGACCGAGGAGATGACACCGCTGGAGATAGAAGAGGGGAGAAACATCGCCATGGGACGAGCGAAACCTGAAGTCCAGGTGTATGAGGAGTACAATGGGTTTAGACGAGTATATGGCTCTCTTCATTTCCCTACTTGGCATAGTTCGTAGTCTCTCGAAAGTCACGATTGACTTCGTCCGCAGATTCCTCTTACCAATGGTGTCGAGAATGGATCCGAATCCTATACCTTCTACTCCTTTATTATCTGGTTAAGAACCGATTAGTCACGCTTCTTCCATATGCAGCAGGAAGGATTCCGGCATCAAGAGTAACAGCAAGCAGGTACCGAAAATTGTGTATATATTTTGTACAGCTTCAACCGCAGAGTGAATTACTTGCCACAGAACGTGTTTCATTTGCATTATTATACAATCCTGTTACAGTTATTCCTAATAAACGGCATAGCCCAAGGCGATCTTTTAGAACACAGGGTCAGTGGCTATTATACTTCTATTTGGACGTTAAATTCTACTCAGCCTTCGTTGTCGATACCTCCTTACCTGTTTCCACCGATAGTGATGGATACATTCGGCGCATGCTTTCATAAACTGCGAGAGCGATCCGATCTCCAGTTGATTAGGTAAGCGAATCGCTGGCAGAAGTGTTGCACAAATGACGGCAAAATCCATTAAGCCGGTCTTTCGTTTCTCTAAAGATGTGTCCAAGACAACGTGAGCTCTCAACGTTCGTACTTCATTAAGCCACCGCTATCCAACGTTACTCTCTTTTTCAAGAACAAGGAGATGGAGAAGGAGTACCGAGAGAATGCGTACAAAGCTAGCGAAGGTATTGGTGGCAATCCGCCTACCCTGGTTACTTCGAGGTTCAACATGTATTTTGATATTTTTATATCCGCTCTGGTCTATCAGAGATCGTGATGGTCATGGCCATCACGATCTCTCTTTTCATATTACATAAAAATATAAGGAAAAAAACCCTCTCGAGAGAGAAAGAGCTTCATAATTTGTATCCATTCTATTATGTCTATATATGAGAAGATATATTGATACATGGAAATATTCTTACATCTTGTAATCATATGCGCACATGGCAAAATATGTTTTTGAGAAGAACAAAGGAAAATATAATGAAGAAGATATGAAAAGAAGAGCAGAAACGAAGAGAAAAAAGAAAAAGAAGAGAAAAAACGTGAGGAGGAGGCAGAAGAACGTTTAGCCACTCTATGTCAGATTGGAGATCGCTGTGAGGTATCTGTTCTAAATGAACGAAAGCGAAGAGCTACAATTTTATATGTTGGTCAGTAAAAAATTATATCTTATACCATTAAAATTTATCTTAGTTTGAATCATGTATCCCTTTTATATTAATATTTTATAATTATAGATAAAAAATTTTGAATTTAAAGATGGTGGACTGGTGTTAAGTATGATGAATCTCTTGGCAAAAATGATGAAAAGTACAAGCATACATTTATTACTTCCTTATACTATACTAATACATATTTCTTTTTTGCTTAATTTAATTTATGCTTATTATATGTTTTCATTAGTGTTGGTGATAAAAGATATTTTGAATGCGCACCAAAATACGGTGGTTTCGTGAAACCAATGCATATAAAAGTTGGAGATTTCTCCGAAGAAGACTTCGATTAAGTATATAGGAATATACTTGGCATAAATTGATGTATAATCACGTAGGCATGTAGACACAAGCTACTTGATATAATGTTGTATCTTTCAAAAATACTGATGCTATCCTAGTGTTTCTACGAAGTACATCTAAAAAAGATGATCCAGTATATTATGGCAAAACTTTTACAACCATTGAAATAAATACAATGCACATGTATATTGATAAAAGTTAAAACTTTTTTATAGTTGCGTTGTATTATCATTAGCATCGCTATTAAATAAGTAGCGTTGCACGATCCGCAAACTACAATTTAAATTCAAATTTGTGGCAATTTCTCGTGTACTCTGAAAGCCATTGTCGCGAATGGAATGGACAATTCCCGCAACTTCATCCTGATTTAGGCTATAGGATGTAGGATATAGGACCATCCGAGATTTGGCGCAGGATCTGCGTGTCCCTTTTCCTGGTTATGATGCGCATTACGGTATTTCACTATAATTAAAACATATTATTGCAACGAAAGAACAAACGTTAGAGGCATGTTTTTCTTTTCAATGTTGCTTTAATTGCAATAAACACGTTTCTTAATCTATAGCATTTGAAGTTCTTACATGTATTTCAAATTGCCAGTCGATGTCTTCATTTGTTAACAAACGAAGATCGTGTGCGATGTTCGTCTGTTAACATCTCAGTGGACGCGAGGACCGGTGACGGACGCTAAATTATATCATTGGGCACTACAAATATTTAGAAAAAAAAATGCCAGCCCCAATAAATCAATTAATACGAGGGCAAATTATTGCGCTACATAATAATGGCCTGATACAGATATCGCCCAGCAATTTCAACTACATGTAAGAATTTCAAATGCTATAGATTGAGAGACGCATGTTTGTTGCAATTAAAGCAACATTGACAAGTTATACATGCCTCAAACGTTCTTTAATTGTAATAAAATGTTTTAATCGTAGAGAAATACCGTCACGAATATTATAAAAAAATATGAGCAAGAGAGCCATGCAGATCTGGTACCAATACCTGGACGGCCGAATTGTCTGCAAGAGGAGGAAGTTGCGGCAATTCGAAATTCAATTGAAAGAAATGAATTTCAAAGTGTCGTCAAGATTGGCGCAGATTTAAATCTGAATTGCTCCGTGCGAACGGTGCGGCGAGTAGTACGAAGAAATGGATATTATTGTCGAATTCCCGCGGAGAAAGAAAGATTAACAGAAGCCTACAAGCAGCAAAGGATGGGTTTCGCTTTGCAGCACTTGGCGTGGCAGGAAGAATGGGTGTGCACTATCTTTTCCGACGAAAAGGTATTTTCTACGGATGAGTCTGGGAGAATGACGTTGTGGAGAACGAGAGGAACCAGGTATGCCGAAGAAAATGTTCGTTTTCGTGCACGTAGTGGACGCATCATATTAGCTTTTTGGGGATTTCAGTGGACGCATCATATTAGCTTTTTGGGGATGTATGACCTCGCATGGTCCTGGGCCGCTTGTGCAGACAAGCGCGCACATGAACAGCGAGGAATACATTCGCATTTTAGCTGATATGATGTTGCCCTATATCGCGGAAACTTTTCCCGGCAATCCTCGCGTTTTTTTCGTTCAAGACAACTCTGGTGTGCATCGGGCGAGAATTGTGCAGGATTGGCTGGCGCAACAACCCAACCTCACGACGTTGGTTTGGCCACCCAAATCTCCTGATTTGAATATCATTGAAAATCTTTGGGCCACGATGATACAAGAGTGGGATCCTCATGTTCGGCAAACACGCGAGGCACTTGCGCAATACGTTTTTGATAAATGGGAGGATCTCCGCGCAAGGCCTCAACTTTTTCAAAATTTAGTAGCTTCCATGTCCCAAAGATTAAACTGTGTGATTGAAAATAATGAAGGTCCCATTCGATTTTGAGTGGGCCTTCAAGAATGTATGGTGATGAATGAATGCAGAATGTTTGAATAGTCGCAATTCTCGCAGAGTGATTGAGTTAATCATATTATAATAACTCTATAGTAATATTATAATTATATTATATTACAATTATAATATAAATCTGTTATCATAATATGATTAAGTATGTATGCGTGTGTAAATGGGAATGAATGGTGCGTGAATGTGGAGTGAACAAGGCGAAACCCTACCTCCGAGAAAACAACACGCTTCTGCTATGATAATATGATTTTTCTTTTACCTATTATATAAAAATAATATATTTCAATAAGAATCATATAACTTCTAGATGCTGTTACATATATTGTTAATGTAATTTAATAAAGTATAATACTGAACAATATATTTGCTTATTTTTTAACTACATAAATACAATCCATAAATTTCAATCAAAACTATATCCTTTTTCTTTTTTCTTTCTTTCAAGAATTTATCGTTAACAACTGTTCGTAAGTATTAATGACATTATTTGATCATGTATGATTAATATAGTAAAACTTCCTTAACCCTTTGATGCATGGTGGTAACCTACGTTACCATCTAAACTTTACTATTTGGCAGTTTATTATCCAACTAACACATTTAGACTGGTTGTTTTGTATTTCACCGCTATCTTAGGGATAGAATAATATAAAAAAATAGTTTAGGACTTATTATTTATTGCAAGTTTTATGAATAAACAAAGAGCAAAAAAACTTTTTTCTGACCTCGGATTCGTGATCAGCGACCCAAAAAACTATTGTATACCAAATTTCATAAATAATGGATCAGCCGAAAAATGTATGCTTCATATACATAATACATGCTCAAGCCCCAGACGTTCGTACGAGTCATATGGATCAATGTTAGCCGATGGTAATATCCAACAATGGATCATGCCATCTAAACCATCGCTGTAACATCAATTGCCCATACTACACATGGCTAGACACAACACAAGTCCAGTGTATGATCTGAATGTGTAAAGTGGTTCTACATCTAACGAAGCTGACCTGAAAGAATATTAAAACATAAAATTATGATATACAGTATCTTTGAAATTAAATGTTGCAGTTTATATTTTATATATTATATTTTCACAGCATTAATCGATATTGGATTTACATTTTTGCCGGTACAGTCTTATGAAGATTCCATAACTTTAGTGTGTGATCATCGCTTGCGATAATAAGAACCGGATCTGCGGGGTGGAAGACGAGTGCTTTAACAGCGTCAAAATGCGAACATAACGTATATTTAGCGTTCCATGTTTTTCTGAAGATCTCCTTCGTGGTGGAAACCATCTGTATCGCAAGAAATAATACATTAAGTGTCAACAAACTGTAACTCTTACATAGCTGAAAAAGCGACTCGACTGAAATACAGCAAAAAATTCTTGGAACTTACATCGTACGATATTTCTGCATTATTGTTAACACATAATTGTTCTAATTCTCCTAATTCCAGCGTGGAGTCACCGCCTTCTTTATTATTTGGGCGTCCTGGATCTTGTTGTAATCCTCTGTGTAATAAATCTACAGGCATCATTAGATTATGTGATTATATGTGACAATATTACAAAATATCTATTATTGTAATAGGTTTATATTTTATCTTAAAGTACACGAATAAAAAGGGATTTACTAACCTCTTTGAAGAATTCATTTCCAGATGAATAGAAACAGGTGGCGATTCTTCAATTTCTGTGAGGAGATTTAATTCATTTAATACTTCTTCTGCCTTTGCATCTGTATCAACATCTTCCGCTAGAAGGGGGATAGATGCCTGAAAAATAAGAAATTATGTTAACAAATAGCATGAACAATATCATTAAAACTCAAGATGATAGTAAATGTTACTTTATTTGGTTTGGTATCCGTATTTGCATCATAAATTTCATCCTCTCCATCTCCTTCTTCCTCTTCCATGTCCATGTCTGTATGTCCCAAAAATTCAAAATTCACTATAACAGCTGCTTCTGTATCTAATATCATTGCTTCTGCTATAGAAGATGGCTATTGCTGAAACAATAAATCACATATAAATGTATAACAGAATCGTAACTATCGTAATGCAGCTTAATTCTCTTAATTAAGTTCGTATTGTGTTAAAAACATAAACATGTTTATTTATCTCTACCTTTTTCGGATGTCTCCCGGAGTATAAGACTTACATCGGATGATTCTTATCTGTTTTGTGTTCCCTCATTTCCATTTAATGCTGAAGTATTCATTTCATCTGAGTCTGTATTATTATATGTCCCACCGCGTATATTTCATTTCTCGCCTTTCGTTGTGAGTCATTGAGTCTTTTGTTCGCCTCCGTGGCGGTTGGATGTGGTTCTTGTAACTACGCATAATTTTTTGATCGTGGGGACTGCGTACGCGCTGTCCCTGTTTTTCTTTTTACATCATACTACTGGGAAATGGCGTATGGACATTGCTGTATGCAATCCGAAGCCATATAACGAACTGAACTGAACTGTGTAAGTCATTACGTAGACGTGCTCCGCAGGCAGAGCAGTGGCTCTCATTCTTCTTGAGTCGGGATGCGTTCCGAAAGTTACAAAGAAACGGGCACAAACTATTATGTGCGCGAGTGTACGTCACACAGCTGACATATTTCTACACATATCCCACGATACATGTCAATGCTGTCGACCGAGGAATTGAACACAACACGTAAAACGGTACGTAATTGTATATTTAGGGGAAGATAGAACGAGTGTGCGTAAGAATAAGTTCTGTACAATCATTCGCATAACCTCTTGATGTCATTAACGACATTTAATTAGCATCGAATGAACTTCAGAATCGCATGCTTCTGAGCCCGTCATCGTCTTTCCTGTGAAAGGTGAGTTTCTAGCATCAACATACACATTCGGGATTAGAAATGCGATAATTTGTTTGGTGAATGTTCGAGAAACTTCAACATTCTAAATGCGATATGTCTTATTAGAAATGTGAAAATAATGGAGTATAGATAGCGCTAGAAAAGGGATGTCGTAAGTTAGATAAAACAAATGTGAAAGGTATCAAGATGGAATCATTAAAATGTTTTGTGCTATATATGTATCATCAATGACTCTTGGTAAATTGATGTACACATTTATAAGATTATTACAATTGCCTTTTATACTTTTATGATACTTATAACATAAGCAGAGTCATTACTGTTGAAAAAAAAATAGTAGAACCTGAGATATATTATTCAATAAAATAAATATAGAAGTATTTCTATATCTCATATTATTAACATCATAAATAACTTCATAAATAGTATCAAACAGGAGAGTTATATGAGATAAGTGCCCAACATGAAATGTTAATAAATCCTTTATTTTTATTTAATATTTTTAACAGTGAACTTGCATAATTACTGTTGTGATCTTTACTATATGAACAAAATGTCAAAAAATCACAGTGCCAGTGTTTAAAAATAAATGTAATGTATATTATGTTATCTTGTTAATAAGTAGAATTTATATTTGTTTACAGATGTCGTTAACATTTCAACAGATTATTTTGGATGCCAAGAAATTGGTTATTCGAATTTCAGATCATGAGAATACAGCAGATACTCTGATAAGTGAAGTAGAAGCTGTTTGTGGACAAATTGATAATATGAAACAGGTAAGCATTATCTATGACTAAGTTTACACGGCAGTCTAAAACTGGTTTAATAACCTCCGATGTTATAACTTCTGCAAATCTATATTTGTTTACACAGAACTGTTTTAACTAATTTCTGCTATATTTATGGATGTTATAACTTCTGAGTGAAGTAAGTTAAAGATACCAACCTAAAACAAATGAAATAGTTGTTTAAAATAAATATAAAAATAGTATGTTTTCCAACGTGATAATTTTCAGTATTGTGTAATATAAACCTATACGTCTAGTATTATCAATAAATTTGAGAATATAAGGTCGATTCGTTTTCACTGCACTAATTCAGAAGTTCTTCGAAAATGAATAGACCTATAGTTAAGTTGGCAATGCAGGAGTATCAATATTCTTATTCGTTTACATGTTTCTTTAAAACCTGACTTATAACTCTAAGCCTTTTTTCTGATAGATGTAGAGTTACAACAAGTGGTATTGTAATAGTGTAAAGCAGTGTTTATATGATATTTAACAATTGTAGTTATAACATCAGAAGTTATTAAACTGGTTTTAAGCTGCTGTGTAAACTTAGTCTACATTGTCTATATGTTATAATTATAAAAATTATTGTTTATTGCATCATATACTTATAATCATTTTTATATTTTATAGTACCAAGAAGAAATAGAAATTTTAAATACTGAAGCTAAGCAAAAGCCACATCTGCAATTAATCGCTGGAATCCAAAGAGAAAATAGACATTTGCGAGAAATACAGGCAGAAAATAAGGAGTTGAGAAATGCACTGGAGGATCATCAAAACGCGCTTGAACTTATAATGTCTAAATATCGACAGCAAACTGCCTCTTTATTACGTCTTAGTAAAACTGACTTTTCGTCATTGCACAACTCAAAGTATGCCAATGTAAGTGAATATAATTTGATTTGAATAGTAATAAAGTAAGATTTACAATTTTACGCGTAAAATATTTGTTTTTATTTATGAACAAGTTTGCTTCTGTTCTAAAGATTTGTTTACCAATTTAATCAACTATTGTGCAAAATATTGGTAGCATTCACAATTGATTATAATATTGTTAATTTAGGTAATATATAGACATTCATTTTATTGATATTGATATTAATGCAGATTATAACCAGTCAAGCAGAAAAAATTAATGAAATGGCAGCCGTAATGAAAACAGCTGCTGCTCTAGATGAGGAAAATGAATTGAAGGAGAAAGAAGCACTTCAATCTTTGAAGGAAGAGAATGCTGTGCTTCGTGAAATAGTCAATATTGCAAATAAGTATGGTTCTATAAGCAAAGAATGTTCAGTAGAAAGCAAAATCGTTCAAACAGATCCGTCGATAGATTAAAAAAATTTGCTAGAGTTCTCCTTTTTATAAAAGTTGACCAGTATTTATTTCATATACAAGTTCATGACATATATACACGACACACACGCACACACATTATAAAAAATAATAATATTAAATAGAATATGTTACTTATAGGCATGAAGTGTACATGCAAGTAGTATATGTATATATATATATATATATATTTATATGTTAATGTACATGTACATGTATATATATTACTGATATATACATATATATGTAGTATATATATATACACATTATCTATTAAATATTTGTAATAAATTATACAAGCCATTTGCCACTATTTAATTTGTTATAATTTATATCATTTAATATATTGAGATTCTTGTTATGATTGCACGTTATTTTTGTATTTATTATTAATTCAATAACAAGTTGCTGCATTTTCTCAAGAAAAACGAGTGGAAAATTATATAGCAGAAGTTATTCCCGTTCCAATATCTGCTTTATAATTAACATTACTCTTAAAAAAGAAAAAAGGAAAAAGAAAAAACCGCAATAGATAAATTACAAAGTGTCATGTTTATTAATTAAATAATTATATATAGTTTAGTGATTTTAAAACAGCTGATACACATATAACAGTAACAATTGAATGTATGATATTTTTTAATTTTCAAAGTCATTTATTTGGCTTAAACTATAAAATGCAAACTCATTTGCACATTTTTGTTTGAAAAAATCTGCAAAGTATTTTTACAGGCTTTTACTACATAATAAACAATAGAATGTTAGTGCCTTCAATCTGCAAATGAACTGATTTCAAAATTATCATATGCTTTATGCTTTTCATTTATAAAAAAAATAGAGCAGATTAAGTGATGACAAGAAATTAGTAAAAGTGAAATATTGTGTAAAAAAAGAACAAAAAATAATGTTGAATTTGGTTAAAACATACATGTATATGTATTTTTATCATACGTTTCATTTATCATTAAAAAAATGTGCTTTTAAGATATTGTTTAGAATTAATTATACTCTACAAGCAATTTTCCAATATCTACACTGTAATTATGATTGTGTAACTGTTATTACGTTCAGAGTTAATTGCAAAATATGTTGATGTGTTTTTGATTTTTGATAAAATGAATTAACCAATTTTTTGTTATTTTTGTCCTTATTTTTGTCATACTAATTCTAAGTGTTGCGAGGATGAAATCAGAGATGAATTAGATAAATTTATGAGATAAGAATTATTTTATTACTTTTTTTAAATATAAGAATAAAGGATTGACTAGAATTTTCTTTTCGTCTTCTTAATTTTCTATATTAATAATTTCGGATTTGAATTTCTCGGATGTGAATTTCTCCTGTGAACCCGCCGTTCTTTTAGCTATATATCTTGAAAATAAAACACCAGATAGAGCTAAGTAATCCATTAGCTATTTAACAAAATGACAAAGGTCAAATTGTGCAATTCTTTTTAGACGCAACATATCTTTACTTTTGAAAAGACTACGAGAAGGAGGGAGAATAAATGCAACATCTTTCTTAAAATGCTACTTAAATTATAGGCTCCGCTCTTGAAAATATAAAAAAAAATTAGGAGACATTTAATAATAATAAAAATTACAATAATAATAATGAGACGCTATATAGCATCTCCTGAAATCAGAGAAAAAACTTTTTTTTATATAAAAAAGTCGATCGGTCGACTTCAGCATCTAATTACGTATTCGAAACATGTCTATCTATCATGTGAACTGGCGAAATAAAAAAATATTAATTTTTTATATGCACCGCGCTATCTCTATAGGTGTCTCATTCGCTGTAATAGCCAATGGCATTTATGCTCGCAATTTGACATATCTTACAGCATAAAAAATGTATCGCGTTTTTCTGTTTTATAACGCTATAAAAATTCATTCTCATCAATAAAATATATATTATTATTTTTATCAAGTTTGGAATCAATCGTTTGCTTAGTTTCCGAAAACAAAAATTCGCGAAAATAGCTTATTTTTCTGGTCTACAGACAGGATTGCCTCCTTAATCGGCATTTCTGCTAAGAAGAAAAGAGGAAAGCGCGATACATGGCTATTAGAGCGAGCGAGACACCTATAGAGACAGCGCAGTGTTTCTATAGCTGTCTCAATTATATTGTCTGCATTCGAGCGTAGAGTGAATGAGACAGCTATTGGGGACACCATTAACCGTACCACGTCTGGTAATGCTTTCTCTCTCGATCGTGCGACGTGCGATAAGGATGCAACATCGGAACGTCTCCCACCACTTCTCCTTCTTCGCTTCTCTCGCGCTGTACAGTACGCCTATATGCGTATGCGTATATGCCTGTCATCGCTTTCGATTGTTTTACAGGCGTATACGACATCGCCGAGGGGCACCATACCTGCCTCTGAGTGTACATTGAAGCGTTCTTTCCAGCAGAAGTGACGTCAGATGTTACTATTCTTCCCAACGGTGCAGCAGAATTGAGTGCAACAGTTTACTGTACTTCTTGTACTAGTGGTCTGTTCTTTTCAGCTGCACTGCGGAACTAGTGCAATAAGTTAGAATGAGACAACTATATTTTTTCTCACTTTAACTTATTGCACCAGTTCAGTAGTGCAGCTAAAAAGAACAGATAGACATAGGTCTAGAGCTAGTGCAAGCAGTTCAGTGCAGCGAGCAGATCTTACAAGTAACATCAGAGAAGTGCCATACGGCGATTTTCCTGAAACTTAGCATACAAGTAGTACATGGAAAACTATTGGACATATATTGTTATATCGGCCCGAGAGCCGTTTGAAAGGTAGAAATCACCTTTATTGATTTTGGAGGTAAGGTCTTCGAGAGACGAGTGTGGTATAATGGATAAGGTGCCTGCGTATCGTACAAGCGACCCAGGTTCGAATCCTACCCTACGGAAAGTTTTTTTATTTGTTTTTAAATTTAAGTGCGAGCGTTAAAAAATTTAGAATTTGTGTATAGGAAAAAATATTAATTTGTATGGAGGTTGCGTTATAAATAACTGTATATAGACGAAAATAAATCAATTTAAAAAAATTAATTATAATAATTAAATAATAGAATTTAATTTTTAACTAAAAAGAAAAGGGGATAATTTCTCACCACCTCCATGTTGGTTATTCCTTCGACAAAGAATGAGAAAATTTTTATCCTGCATTCTTGGTTTGTTAAAAATCAAGTCGGTCATATTATATCCACCATGGAGAATTATCAAAAACTGGCTTCGGAATCCATTCCAAAAACCTCTAGATACGAAGTTTCATGAAAATTCAACAATTGTTTAGAAATTCATCTGCCATACTGGATCTGCCATTTTGAATTTTTGAAAACGGTCTTCAGATTCGTATTCAGGGTCCCCGAAAATCCCTGGATACCAATTGTCATAAAAATTAAACCATTTTGAAAAAATGCGACCGCCATATTGGATCCGCCATTTTGAATTCTTAAAATCGGACTTCAGATTTGTTATCAGCGACCCCAAAAACCCTTAGTTACCTGATTTCGCAACAATCGTAAAAATAATTCGTAAAATAGTCGAACTTACCTCCAAAATCGATAAGGGTGATTTCTACCCTTTAAACGGCTTTTGGGCCGATATAACAATATACATGTCCAATAGTTTTCCATGTACACTCGTGAACTAAAAGGTATGTGCACCGATTTTTTGTTGACTTCGGAACGTGCTCCAACTTGAGGAGAAAGACAACCACTGCTTCATACGTCAGCGCTGTCACTTATTACGAGAGCAGAAGGATGGCATATACGAGTGTCAAATAAGTAGTGATTGTGGCGTAGACACAAATGTCTTGGAGACTTTGAGTTATAATTGAAGAAATGAAGAAAACATATAGTGATTGTGAAGAAAAGTGGCAAAAGGCTTTATAAAATTTGTAAAACAGCATATTAAAGGAGAGTATTAATCGTCTAATAATATTTTAAGTGAGAAATATTTTTAAATTTGAGTATAAGTTAAAAAAGTTATAAACCATAATTTCTTTAATGTTAATAATTTTATAGCTATAAATTTGCCATCGACGTTAAATGAATATGTATGTAATGCTATCATTTACATAGGTGGAAAATTATGTTATTGCGTTCATAAAAAATAAGCAGCAGACCAAGTCGAGTGATATTTTTTTAACAAGATACTCATATCACTAACTTGGTCTGCTGCTTACTTCTGCTGAACACAATATTATTCCTCACCTATGGAAATAATAGCATTATATATATATTCATTCAACGTCGATGATAAATTTATTAACATTAAAGAAATTATGGTTTATAACTTTTTTAACTTACACTCAAATTTAAAAATATTTTTCACTTAAAATATTATTAGACAATTAATACTCTCCTTTAATATGCTGTTTTACAAATTTTATGAAGCCTTTTGCCACTTTTCTTCACAATCACTATTTGTTTTCTTCATTTCTTCAATTATAACTCAAAGTCTCCAAGACATTTGTGTCTACGCCACAATCACTACTTATTTGACACTCGTATATGCCATCCTTCTGCTCTCGTAATAAGTGACAGCGCTGACGTATGAAGCAGTGGTTGTCTTTTTCCTCAAGTTGGAGCACATTCCGAAGTCAACAAAAACCGGTGCACATACCTTTCAATTCACGAGTGTACTACTTGTATGCCAAGTTTCAGGAAAATCGCCGTATGGCACTTCTCTAGTGTTACTTGTTAGAATAATACAGTACACACATACACATACAGTACATACATACATACACAACACATACATAATACATACACAAATCTCATCCTTTGAATCTTTCATCGCCAATAATAAATAAATATGGAGGGAAATAATGCGCATATCGGCAATGATTTATTAATTTTTTATTTTATTAGAAATAATTATTAGAAAGAAGTTTCAGTTTGTTTTATTTGTAAATCTGTTTTACTTGCAAATGCTCTATTTTGTTTTATTTATTAACTTATTACATTTATTAACTTTTTGTTCTATTTTGTTAAAAAGTAAAATATTTAATAGTATTTAATAGTATTTAATTTATTCTATTTGCCAAATTGAATGTAACGAGAATTTATGTGACGAGGACTTATATGAATTGGATTAATATGAAATTTTTTTATAGTTACATGCAAATTTATAATAATACATTAATTATCATTCC